ATTATTATTATTATTATTATTATTATTATTATTATTATTATTATTATTATTATTATTATTATTATTATTATTATTATTATTATTATTATTATTATTATTATTATTATTATTATTATTATTATTATTACTCTTATTATTACTCTTATTATTACTCTTATTATTACTCTTATTATTATTTTTATTATTACTTTTATAATAGTTAATTAAAGTATTTAAAGTATTTAAGGTTTTTTTTATTTATTATATATGACTAATTTAGTCGACTAGTTAGTCGACTAGACTAAACTAGGCTAGTATTAGTCAACCCCCTGACTAAACTAGGCTAATATTAGTTAACCCCCTGACTAGACTAGGCTAGTATTAGTCAGGCCCCTGACTAGACTAGACTAGACTAAATCCCAACCCTGGACTTATCTGCTAGTGTGGCGTTTGCGGGGCACTTTGCATGCGACGCACCTCACTACCCCATTCAGAGTGGTGGCTTCTCTCCTGACAGTGCATGGCTTGATGAATATCATCACCTGGCCCTCCATCTTCAGTTGTATGTGTGTGTGCTAATGTATGATAGTTCGGTGTCAAAGAGTGGGCTTGTTTCTCCCGGGCTCGTCAACATCGCGAGCGCCCACTTATCGCAAGGGGGACGTCGAGAGAAGGAACAGACGAAGAAGAAAAAACCGCAACGCCAACGGCCAACGGCGCAAAGTCAGCCAATCCCTCTACTCCATCCAACCTGCGGGAGGACGCAGTGGAGACGGATCATGGTCATGGCCTCGAGGTCTGTGTGCCAGTCAGTGCGGGCTGCGTCTCGGTATGCAAGGTACCAGGGGTAAAGAGGGTGGGAAATGGTAAGAATATTCGGATACAAGTGTGCTGAGTGCAATAGCCCAAGAGACAAGACTGGTGTGATGAGACAATGAGAAATCATCGGTGAGGATGGAGAAGAAGAAAGCGTTGTAGAGACCTGGCCAAGAATGATGCACTTTGATCTGTGAGCGCCTCTGCCGCCCAGCACCATCCTCTGGTGTCTCGGACAGGAACGGCTGTAGCTCTGGCTCTGTATCCGCGAGATACGCGATCGCTAGAATCTTCGTAAAGCTGGGGATTTGGAAAAAATAAAAGCACGCCTTTCACCTGTCTTGAAATTCATTAAAGCGGTATACGAGGTTGTTGCTGGGCTCCCTTGCTTGCTTGTACTTCGTACAGCAGGATCCTGGTGATCAAAGACGGATCGGCCCTGGTCCGTCTCGACTCTCGAACAGCTCAAGACAAACAAGCTAGCTCCATCTGGATCATTGTCGTTGTCCTGAACGGAAAATACTCCGAGTCTCAACGGGTAGCCTCCGAGGACTGTGTCGTATTTTCTTCCACGCTGCTTGACGTCTTCAGGCTCTTGTACATTTGGAAGCGTGGAAATGATTGCAAACTGTATGTCCTGTTGATGGAGGTGTCGCAGAAACCGGCTTGGATGTTTGCCGCCAAGTGCGACGTCCAATATCAGACCAGAAATGAGCCCTGTCGCCGAAGTTCTGGCCCATTGAGGCAGGCTCTGTCACTGAAGGCTCGCAGATACGGCCAGGTATCATCTCGAAAATAGCTAGTAGCGGACAATTATTGCCAAATGGGGATTAAGCAATATCATTCCAAAGAATAACACTTCAAAAGAAGGTGATGCAAATGCCGATTGTTAACGTTTCGTCACTCATTCGCCACAAGATGCCACCGACCCAAGTTCCTGTTCGCTCTGGCACGCCAGAGTGCCGTGTAAACCGTTGAATCCGCAGATACTTCGTGGAAGGGCCTGGGAAACTGGGACTGAGGAGATAACAGTGCGTGGCTAGGTGCGGATAGTTACTCAATCGAGCCGCCGTCCGCAGTACGCCAGGATCATTCATGGCTCGATATGCACTAGAGCTCCTCAATTCCAAGTTCGAGTTTCTGCGTGAACAACGCCCGCCTTCAATCCGCGTCGCCCTTGCAGGAGACCCGATGAGGAGGCCTTGATAGCGATGACGCCAGACCAATCACTGACAACCACGACGAAAGAACAGCGGGTCGTTTCAGCGCAGCTCCTCTGAGTGAGGACGGCATGTCTAATTGGACTGTGGTGTGTCTCGCTGGGTAGTGCTGATTTCCCCGCGCTGTGGTGTTCCTTTTTCTTTTTGCCTTCTGCTGCCTCTCACGCCTCTCAACTGTCCCGACCTGGCCAAGGCAGACTGCATATCGAACTGGGGTGGAAAACGCCATTACCATAATACCAAGGGGTGTTGGCAGACTGAAGCTGAAATGCTGAAGGAAGGATGATTCGGGCGCCCATGGAGCCGGTACGGCGAAACGGCCGCGGTTTGCTGAGAATGATACACACCACAGTTATCAATGATGACCGCCATCCCATGCCCATCCCAGGGCATCCCGATTCTAGGCCCAACTATCGGGCGACACCTCGAGTGTGGTGCTGTTTTACTGGCCTGGCGTCTAGTGTCGTCGGCTGGCGTGGTGTGGCGATGGCAAGCCAGCAGGGCTTCTTGACTCGCTCACCGCTTCGGGTACAAGACGTGGGGGACCTGGGCTTCGGTGACCTGGGCGTCCCAAGTTCGAAGCGGCCGGCGCCAGAGATGACCGGTCACAAAATTCTGGTGCGAAGTTTCGTTCTGAATGCCAACTCGGCCCTGGCTCTCGGCCGGCTTCGTTTCCAGAATAGTTCACGACGGAGTACGAAGTAGATGGCTGTGGCTCCGCGCCCGCCCCGCAACCAATGCCGGCCGATTTTGAGGTTCTGTAGCACGACAACGGGCTGAGAAAGGGGCCATCGCAGACGATGAGCAGAGCCATGCATGCCAGTCCAGTGCATTGCAGGCCAAGCGCAGGGCATGTGCAGCCAGAGATTCTCAAGATAGCAGAGAGAGCCGGTGAGATGGCTGGGGGGCTGCGTGGGACCTATTACGGGCAAAAGCAGCACGGGACGAGCTGTCATTGATGTTGTGTCTCGTCAGATGGCTGCGAGCCTGCGACAGGCGTGGCCAGTGATGAGGCCTACGCGCTGCAAGGATGTGGGGATTTTGACATGGCCCCCCGGGCGATGGACAAATTGCTTGCATGGAAGCGAGTGAAGGGCCGCAGAGGGGATCTGTGGATTGAGGTCTGAGATGCCATCACAGTCGCATCCGTATCCGACGTTGAGAGTTGAGTGCCAACGTAGGGATCGTGTACTTCGTAGAGAGCACTGGAGCGAGCGTTGCAGAAGCCAAGGCGGTTGGCCTTGCACTTGCACAATTGCACTTCCCTCGAGGGCATATAGAGTCGGGTTGCAGTCGCAGTCGGGAACTGTGCGCCGAGTGGCATCTGGCTTGTCCACCGAGCTTCACCTTTGCCCTCGAAATACCTTAGCGGGCGGTAGGTGGCTAGGATGAAATGGTCTGTACTTGGAAGTGGTCTAGGTCTTGCTCAAGAACAGGCGCAGCACCACGACCTTCCTGAGGTAGCGTGCTACAGGTGCGTGTTCGCAGGTTTTGGCACGGCCGTCCTTGGTCGTACCGTAACGGACCGGACGTTGGGTGTCCGAAAATACATACAGTCAGTGATGACGGGTGGCGATGGGGACTGAAAAGTTGCGAATGAGGTCTGTGGTGGACTTGGCTAGGAACGGTGACTGCCACACGTGAGCAGGCGTTGATGTGTGAGTTGGTTGACGCTTGATGGATTGGATGGCTCGAGGTGAGGACATTCGGCGTTGTATTCGAGGGTGGTTGGCGGCGGAGGAAGACGGGATGAGATGAGGAGACCAGGAAAATTACCCAACTGTCTAAGGTACGTACCGCATGGAGGAGACGTCGACGTCGAGACGGGAGCGAGTGGGGCATCTCAGACTTAGAGTATGTACGAGTACGTACCCATGACTAAGGAGCGGGACGTACCCATGCTCAACGCTCCCCTTCCTTCTCCTTCCCGTCTCCTCACTTCAACGGGCTACGGAGTACATAAGGTACCTAGGTAGTAAACCTCACCTTTGCGGTTACCTTACCTAACCCTACCTTACCCTTTGCTTACCTTACCTTGCATTGCCTGCCCATATATTCTTCTTACCTTACCTAGAGGTACGACTTGGATCGTTTTAGACGTGGTGGACTTGGCATTTGCACCATAGTCGGCAAGGGCGTACCGCCTTCTTTGTTTCTTTTTCTTTCCGTTTGTGAACAAATGAGGCTTGTTTTAGTGGTCTGCAACCGCTGCGTCCGTGTCCTCCATCCTCGGCACCTACACGTGTATTCGTAGTATCTACGATTCGCGAATACCCAGGTACCTTGCTTACCGCAGGTAGTAGTCGTGGGTACAATTAGTGTACCGTAGGTTAGTGTGGTAAGGTTCCTTGGCTTCACGATGGAACCGATCATGACTCTGTTGCAAAGATTCAATGTTGCAAAGAACGCGGGATTGGGGCTTGGGCTGGATAAGCAGTTGCCGTTTGTTTCCGCCGTCAGAACTTGGTCAGGTAAGAGAGATGGGTTGTGTCTGCACAATTGAGTTTCAAAAAATGCTACCAATCGCCCAAATTAGAAGCATTCGAGTCTTCCCATCTCCGGACCGAGCATCACCCGCAGCAGCAGGATGGCATCCAACAAGACTCGAGATGGATCCTGGATTGCTTCGCTGCAGGATGCGTGCTGTGCTGTGCTGTGCTGTACACTACGGTCGTTGTACGTTGCATTTTGCATTTTTGCAGGCCCTGCTTCTCCTCTTCCCCCTCCTCTCCCCCTCTCTCCAGCCTCTCTCACAGAGTTCCCCTCCCCCGTCCCAGCCCAGGTGCCTGCGTACTAGAATCTGCATGAGATCTATCTTTTCACGTTGCTGCCGGGGTCTGACCTTTTTCCGTGCTGCACCTCGATGGAATGGGGCAGCTACAGGGACAGAGGCACAGAGGATGGTCTCACTCAATCCCGATGCCCATTACAATCCCAGCAACATCACGGTGCACAGCAGCCAGGGCACCTAATCCTACACCCACCATGGTTTCTTTTCCTCCGTTCCTTTCCAATAGCCCGCCTGCAGCTTGCCGACTAGGCAGTTGTCTATCCTCAAATGTTTCCTCTGTGGAGGTTGCGGAGATGGAGGAAGAGAGGGGGAAAGGTGATCATGCTGTCCGTCACTTACAAACCAACCGTTCTAAACTTACAGTGACCATGAAGCCAGCCTGCCTATGCTTATCGTGGCTCTGCTTTAGCTCAGCCTGGAGGAAGCGGGCTTCTCGATGCTCATTCGCCCTTCCGTTTCAACACCATTCCTCAAGCCCCGGTGTGTTGCTGGGTCCTCCTTAACTAACCCATGTGCATGGTTGGGTCCTGGAATGGCCCCCTCCATTAACGGCCACGAACCTTTGGTCAGAAATCAGCGCAGAACCACATGGCACCATCCAGGCCATACAATCCGCTCTCTGGGAACCCAGCTTGGGCAGCTTCACATCAAGCCTGCTCAGTGTCTCCCCATGCTGACCGGACGTCGAAACAGACAACTGGTCAGAGCAATTAAGATGAGGCTGTTTAGGCTGCCCGGATGCCTGTAAGTGTACGAGGAAAGAAAAAGCTCCGAGAGGATCGGTCGGTGTCTTGGTCGACCCGACAAAACAAGCCCTGTCTTTCTCCCTCTCTCTCTCCGAGTCTGTCTCTCCCGGTTCCGACTCCGACTGCCTCCACAGTCCACACGTTGCGATCCGGCGATGGTGACAGCCGCGCTGCATCCGTGGACTCGTGTCGTTGGATTTCGATGTTGATGATCCTTGATGGGTTGTCACTCTAACTCATCCTCGGTCGTTTGTTTCGAACCTAGATTCTATCTATTCTTTCCCTTCTGCCATCCCACCTCGTTCTCGTCATCGGCATCCCGAAAGCCCTTGTGCAACCAATCGATTGCAGACGGATAGATCAGGAAACAACGTACACAAACTGCCCTGATGGACGATACCGTCCCTGGACCTTGTCTTCTGGGTGTATGGTGCAGTGTACACTCCACAGTTTGTGTATGAGAGGGAAAGAAAGTGTGTGTTGCCATACCTGACCGGACTTTACCTGACGTAAGGTAAGCTTCCGTGCCTGACCTGAGAGACTAGAGTGGAAGAAGGTCCAAGTCTGTCCTTCCACGTTGCTATTCCCAGCCTTCTCCCGATGCCGCCATGATCCTCTCAGGTCTTCTTCCACGTCGCTCACCTGTCCTTCTATCTGATCCAACACCAACGCCAACACCGCAGCCAACGCCGGTACACCGATATCAGCACCAAGCATCAAGAACCAAGCACCAGCACCGACACCAACAGCAGCATACCGCTTATGCCGGGCTAGCCAGTCCCATCCAGCCAAGTCAAAATTTAGAAACATCACAACGTCCTCCAATGGCTACCCGCAGACGCTCAGGTACCGCAGGACGCCATGCACACTAGACACAGACACACAACACACGCTCCCTCATTCACACACCCCTCTTTTCCTCTCGTCTGCTCACCCCCCTGTTCCTGGTCCTGGTCCTGTTCCTGTTCCTGTTCCTGTTCCTGAGTCTCTTCCACTCACCTCTCTCTCTCTCTCTCTCTCTCTCTCTCTCAGTCTCAACTCTCAACTCCTCACAATTCTCCCGCTCAGAAGCCAAGGCCTTCACCCGCCCGCCCTCGTCTCGTTTTTTTGTCTTCACCCCCCCCCCTGTTCATGGACCCCGACACACAACTCAACCTCCGAACGCTCCACCCAGAGATCCACCTCTCCACTGTCTTGAACCTGATGCGTTGTGTGCAGCTCGGTTCGTTCGTTTCTTCCCACTCGTCACGGACGGTTTCTCTTGACCACAGACACCACCACACTAGGCACAGGAACCCGCAACTGACCACCACCATTCTCTTTGGCTCTTCTCTCACACATTCTCACGCACACACACATACACACACACTTACTCGCTCTCAGCTTCTCGCCTCCCCCCTCCTCCTACACACGCGCACACCACACTAAAGCATCTCGACATCCTGTCCTGCATCACGGATCATGGCCACACCCCCGGAAAGGCCCCATAATATCCTTGCGGGATTATTCACATGCCGTCGTTCCCAAGCGGGTGCACGGTTGTACAGCTTATCCCTACCCTGTCTCTCAGTCTCTCCAAGCACACTCTTCCTCGTCGTACGGAATAGGTATGCACCAAGTTGTGTGTACATGTCTATGTGCGTGGTGTATCCGCACGTCGTAGCTGCGTGGCTGCAAAGGTGGCCCAAGGTGCCACCGCCCGTCAATCTTTACATCGTTTCCATGTCAGTGCTGCCGCAAGTGCCGCATCCAAGGAACCAGGTGCTCTCTACTACGTTTCCCACCCCTACATGGCAGCTATATACATAACCCCAGGACAGCCGCCCACTATCTTCTGTATTCGATCTCCGCGAGCCTCTCTTCCTCGTCTCCAACCCTTCCCCTTCCCTTACTTGAAGGTCTCCAGCATCAACCGGCTCCCAACGTCAATCTTGGAGTCGTGGAACCTGATCTCTGGTCTGTCTGTCATCCTGACCTGGTGCCGAGATCATTCACCCAAACTGTTTGTCACCCTTTCCTATAATCTCTTATTTTCCTTGAATGTCTATTTGTCGGTTTGTTCCTATTACGGAAGGCCCTAAAAGCCCAGTGGTGCAAGTTGTACATGGCGCTCGGCAACATTTGAACACTGGCTTGTAATACGAACATTGGGTTGTTCCATTTGTTATATCGGGCTGGCCCATCCACGCCGAAACGGCATATAATACCTACTGGACGATGTCGACGACGAAACTGCTCTCAACGGTGGTTTGGCTTTCCAGCCTCTCGTTACCTACCAGAGCCTTGGATCGAAGAGACGACTTTACCGATTTCGAAACTGAGGAGGAAAGACAGGGCAAGGGCAAGGGCAAAGGAAAAGGAAAGGGAAAAGGCAAAGAAGGTGTACCGAATGTTCCCGTCACGACACCCGGACTCGACGCCCTGCCTACAACCGGAACCGATCCTACGCCTGTCCTCGGGCCTGGGACAAACAATGGGGATCCAAACAATCCCAACAATGGAGGTGTGACCTGGCTCAACCCTGGCACTGAACACTCAGTCTGCGATGCCTTCACCCATCTGCCGTTTTTATCACACCGACGATCTCATCCGAGCCCCCGCCTTACCTCACCTGACTGACTCTTTGGACACCTCCGGACATTTCCTTTCCGTTTTGCTCTCACTTGACTTACATGTAAATTGTATAAAGAGCTAACACATCTTCACAGCACCTCCCCCTAACGAAGAACCGCCCCCTCCTCCGGAAAACCCTCAGGTCCCGGAAAACCCTCCAAATCAGGATCCCCCTCCACCCCCTCCCCCACCAGAGGAACCACCGCCGCCGCCGCCGCCTCCTCCAGAAGCGCCTGCTCCTCCGCCTTCGCCTCCGTCTCCGCCTCCGTCTCCCCCGGCGCCTACCACCACCTCGGTTGAGAGTCGAAGGTCAACGACAACTCCACGATCTAGTCCCGTAGTCTCAACTTCGAGACCTCCGGTGCCATCTGTCTCGTCTTCTCCAACCCCAATTCGCTCGTTTCCTCCACCGGTCTTCTCACAGCCGAGTGCACCCCCACCAAACTTTCCCCAGCCGTTTCCACGACCAAGCTCAACACCAAAGCTTCCTCAGTCAAGCTCAGCGGCATCTCTCATTGTTGTACTTCCGCCGCCAACTTCAGCTCCACTGACCACGTTGCCGCCACCTGCTCAGCCGACTGATGCTGGGAGCAGGAGTTCAAACCTCCCGGCGCCAGCTGCACCAAGCTCAACCTCTTTGACTGACCAGCACGGCGCCATGAGCGGAAATAAATCGCAGGGTATTGAGGGCAACCGTGGCCTTGTGGTTGCTCTGAGCACTGTACTCTCTGTGCTTGGAGTGATCATTATTATCGGGGCCATCTTTCTCTGCTACCGTTACCGCCGTGGCCGCCTGCCATTCAGCCGCCGGGGCAACAGCCCGATTGATGATGAGGAGATCGAATCGTGGAAGGCCTGCAGGACAATTGAGAAATGCACGACCGTGGTCGTGGATAAACATGACTCGGCCGGTTCTATTCGCAAGCCAGCCAGCGTGATCGTCTATCAAAATCACAACCAGCACCAGCCGCGCCCTTCAACAGATACCGCACCTCGCTCTCTGTATCACAAGCGGAGCATGGACAAGAAGAGTATTGATATCCCTCAAACTCCCGTTCTCGCACGAGCCCCAAACGCCCGCGTTGGCCTCACTGACGACGCCGTCGAGGGTGACCTCGCCTTCCTTCCATCCCCCAAGCGACAGAACTCCAGACTGTCCAAGTTGCCGTCCCCTCGTCATGGCAGACATCGCAGCTCTCGCAGCAGCGCGAGTGTCGGTAGTCTGCGCGAGCATTGGTATGGCTACCACACCGACACAGAAATGTCTCCCCGCCCTTCGGTGGACCCTTACTCCCGGATGCCTTCTTCGGCACACTCGGATGGGAGGCACCAGCGGGTTTACTCGTCTCCCTCGAACCCTCCGAGGCTTTCACTTGATGAGGAATATCACATGGGTGGCCTCTCCCCACGCCCTTTCCTACGGCAATCAGAAATTGGTCTTGCCGTAGGCTGAAGTTACGATTCACGATTCTACGCCGGTCTATGAGACTTCTCTAACACCGAGCCTTGTCTTACAACCTACCTTGACGATTCTTGCAGGAAATCCTTCGCAACGAACCCTGCGGATGACAGGAGCACGCCACACGCTAGGCTACGACATTCGTTTCAGCCCTCGCGCTCTTCCCGCGGGACTGGAGAGAAGTGCGGGGTGTGCTATCGCGCGGGACTTTTTGTTTCATGTCCCGATGGATGGCAGCATATCTCAACTCCCCATGTGGCTTAACACCATCACGAGGGTGGTGGGTGAGGCCAGCCGTATCAAACTCAGAATGGAAATTCATGGCTCAACAACCCTCCCCGCCACCATTACTCTTCGGGCTTTCTTCGCGATGCCCTCTTCACAGTGGCACGCAAGGCTCGGCGGACGCATCTGATGCGACCCAACTCCCCTCTTATGTTCCTCTTAAGTGAGCGAGCATCATGACGCTTGATATTGCTACATCTGGCAAGAAGCTTCGATGTCTGAAACGACATCTTTTTTTCCCTTTAATCTTGGCTCATTGGAGTCACACATGACGGAATGGTGATGGATATACCCACATGACAAACGGTCTACTTGAAGCTGCAACGCAGTCCATTTTCTATATTTAAGTCTCTAAATACTTCGTCGGGCAACCAAACTTAGCTCCGAAACAAATTCAAATACAAGCCATATACCAAAGTTCCACGGTCTAGATCTCAACGTGATTTGCGCGATGTATATGAACCCGAGGTGAACCGCGCCGGTGGCAATATGAAGTCGTGGCTTCAATGGCGCCGACTACTCTGAGAGGCCACAACGAAGAGGTTGTCACAATGTCAGAACGGAAGCTTTTTGCGTGCGCGAACGATAGAGCAGAGCGCGGTTGCTCTGCTCACCATCCCATCTTTAGGCGGCAACCCTCACATCGACGTCGGCCACGCTGCTGACAAGACCCAAAAGTTCCCAAGAATCGCTGGTGAAACGCGGAACAAGGAGCATGGGGGTGAGAGGTGGTGCTAGGTACTCCCACCTCAGCAATCCGAAAGAAGAGAAGGAGACCTTTCAATACAAATAGGTGCCGGGACTTGACTGACTGACGGGTGGGAGGGAAGGGGAGGGGAGGGGGAAAAGAAAACCAAGATTTCGTGGCCAAGGTTTCGATGACACTCTGGTGTCGTGTTCATGGTTTTCCGTTCTTGCTCGCCGTGCCCCCCTCTCCCCTCCCCTACCACGGCGCTGACCACATTGCGACACCTGCCATCCCAGGATGACGGGCACGATGGCAGGCGGGACAGGTGAAACGCGAATGCTTTTTTTTCTTCTCCTTCCCCGCCGCGGCGCCGGCGTGGGTGTTGCAACACAAAATTGGCACATCGGGGACGAACGCGAACCGACGGGAGGAAGTCTGGAAGAAGGGCGGGGAAGATGTCCGGTCGTGGGTATGGGGGCTATGAGGTGATGAGGTGAAGGATTCGTCTTTAACTTTTGAGTGGTGTCTTCGCATTTAGACACAGACACCTGAGATGCTTCTGTGCGTCATTTGATCGTCACAACTTTTGGTTGGTGAATGCCACTATCGACTTGAAGGAATCGGATGGAAGTTCGTGAAGAGGGCTGCGGCGTGTCGTGTGTATTTGTCGGTTCATCATTACCCAGAGCGAGTTGGTATACTTATACGTCGCGACTGTACAGTTCTTTCATTCCATCTTCTTTGCTTGGTTTGTATTATTCCCTTCGTCGTGATGTGAATTTCATTCGTTCGGGGAAAAGGAAAGCTGTCCATCTTCGGAGCTATCGGGGGCAGCTGAATGGAGACAGACTCCTCATCCCTCGGATGTTTCTTACTTTTCACTTTTTTTCCTCTCTTTCGAGTCTTCTGACACCTGTCATGACGTCTTTTTTAGGTGTAGTTCACCTCGGTTTCTGATGACTGGACACTTTTCTCCGCGTGCGCGCGTCTTCGTCGTGTCATATCTGCGGGTTCACGATTTATTTCGGATGTTTGCGGGGAGAAGGGAGAAACATGGGAAGCAGGGGGAGGTGTATGGAGGCGAATTTCTGAGCTTTGGGAGTGTGCAATGGTTCTAGATTCGTAAGTTGGGGCAGGACAAATTGGGGACGGGGGTTACGGGAGGTGTAGTGTGAGGTGCGAATAGCAGGGTCAGGGAAGATGCGAGATGTCCTGCCATCCCGCTGCTATTGGGATGTGCGTTGATGGTTGTAATGGAGATGGGCGGTGATGTGACTTGAGTTCCGTCGAACAAGGTTGGCAGGCCGAGGTCAGTGTGGTAGATGGATGTGTGTGAAGATATCGGTCGTTCTTCTCGGCTACCATGCCATCGAAGAATTCCAAAATTGGATTCCTTGTGAATAGCTCTTTCGTGGGTTTAGTCTCTTCTCATACTACCAGGCAGGTACGTTTGTAAGGTTCAAACGAGCTGCCAACAAACAGTTGACTTCAGCTTAGATGGCCCTATTGGGCCCAATCATGGCGATTTACCTTTCTAGGCGTAAAATTATGTCTGAGGCCGAGAATCACAGGAGCCACAGTCTGAGTTGTTCATGCTCACATTAATTAGCAGTGAAAT